AAGTTTTGACATTAAATTTTCCCGTGTACTATTTATTTTTAAGAACTTAAAAATGTTTGTTTGCACTGGGGTTGATACACAGAGTTATATTATCGGTAAGCAGTTTAATAATGGCAAAATTTATAAAAGTAGTTTATGAGATAATTATTGCATACTGCTATTTTGTGATCTGATTGATAATTGCTCTTTTATTTATGATTACACAAAGAGTTACTTAATTATACAGGAGTTTGTGTGTGATAGTACCAACAGGCTGGCTCTACAAAAATTAGTTCATATTACTACAAGATCAAATCAAAAAGTATTTAATCTGAAAGTTCAATATAAGCTATCATTTAACCTAGTGACATGATTCAGTTATATATAGATCATAAAATCAGACAATTATCCTTATTGAATTTAAACTGAAACTAAATATACCAATGCATAACTATAATGAAATTATTTTATGCCACAGCAAACACTTTAAGAATGTTCAAAATAGTAAGACAATTGCCCGATCGCCAAAAACTGAAAACTCATCGCAATAACATTATAATTAAAAATTACATAATTAATACAGTTTGCACAGAAGATAGCTATACATATACAATAGCTATTAATACTACATAATAACTAGCTAATATCTTGGGAAGCTATTGGCATATTAACTTATAGATATAGCTACACATACTTTCATGATAAATAATTATATTTTATTACTATTGTTCACTATTACTGACCTATAAAAATATGATATTTGTCTCTATTCTCATAATTATTACAAATATAATCATCGTGTATATAGGCTGCTTTTTATGTACTTTATTTTTTGGTATGAAAATGTTATTTGTTAATGCACAGAAATGGAGAAAACATTTAATGGGTTAATATATACACTTATAATATTGGTAATAGATCAAATAAAATGATGAATAATCGCCATATTTTCATAATGATTTCATTTAATTTCATTACGCATGCTTAATATCTTTGCCAAATCATAAAATTGAGATACATGAAATTTAAAAAAATACTTTCTCAAATTGTAATTCTGCAGTATCTTTTTTGTGATATATATATATATATATATATATATATATATATATACATACATAGACATGTGCACTACTTTAATTCTCATAGCATTTAACATAATTAACTTTAAATTATTTATAAAGTTGGCTTGACTGCACTTATAACATAAACATTTAGAAAAAATTGTGCAACAAAACTGAAGGCGCTTGGGTGTATAGCTTAAGCTATATTCTTCAATGTCACTATACAAGCGTTTGCACTGTTTTCAACAGATGCATATTTTATCATCTGCTATTTAAAGAGAAAAGTAAATACAATGCTGAAAAAATAATGCTAAAAACAATTCATTAGTGTTTTAGAGCAGCCTACAATAAAACTAATATACAAACAATGATATTTCGGGTGAGAACTAAAAAAATCTTCTAGCAAAGTAAGTTTGTTGTACTCCTGAATATACTATAGTAATATAAATATCATTGCAGCATTTAGAAATAAAAGTTGTTCATATTTTATAGCATACTATTAATAAAATATGTTTTAATTAAATTTGTAATCTCTTGTTTTATGTACTACCTTACAAAGTATACATGCAATGCACTTTATACTACTTTTAGATTTTCATTTTACAATATAACTTATATCTATTTATAAGTATTCTTATATTCCTACATCATATATGCATATTCATGTATCATATAAATGTATATTCATACATTTATATGATAATCCTTATGAAGGTGAAACGAAGCTAAAAGGCAATATTGTATCATAAATTTTGTATGAGATCCAAATTTAAAATAATAAGTAGATTATTATCTGCTATTGTCAATGTTTAATGAAATAAATATACATTGATAAAAATGGATATTTGTAAAATTTAATCTCATACTTGAAAGTCTTATAATCACTGCATTTCAACTTCATGAAAGATACAAAAATGAATATGAAATGTTTACTTCAGACTTTCAACATTGACTAGAAATGTATTCCTTATAATAAATCGTGCAAAATGAAGATTAATGCTGTAAGATCTACATTTTCTATAAATAATAAATAATACTGAGTATAAAAAATATGGCACAAACTAATTGCTCATTAATATATTTATTCATGGAGTGATTATAAGACTTTTCAATAGCACATTACTATTTGGCTTGATAAATGATTTTGCGATAAAAGTGAAATAAAAATGGACAAATATAATTACCATATAAAATTAACTAATTTCAGCTTATTTACAAGTTTCGTTAATGTTCATCATAAATAATTTTGCTAAGTGATTCAATCAAACAAGAATAATAACATACTTCACTTTAATAAAAGAAAATGAGTAACCATAAACTGATTCTAAAATGTGAAGTAGTGAAAAACTCTTCTTTGAATAAATTATCCAGTCATTTAAACATCGATTGCAAAAAGCCAAGTATAAAGGAAAATTAGCGATCAACCTTAACTTATGGCAATGTTTTCTTAAAAGGTTATTACTTTACATAAGCTTTGGTTGCAGTGCAGGCAACTTGTAATTAGCAAACTGATATAAGGAGTTGACAGGACTATCCGGGCCACTACCGCCACCGCCCATTTGAAAACCTGATGAGCGACCTCGCTTTCTTCGTGGCAATATGCCTTTCCTTGCCATGAAAAATCTAGAATTATAATAAAAAATCGTGAAGTCTTAAATTAAAAATAATTTACAAATACAAGTGATTTTCTTGAAGTGATGCTAAATTAAGTCAGCAATATATTGAACAATTCAAATTGAATAAATTTACTTTTACTTATAGTGGTTAACAAAAATCCAAAAGTAAAATTTGGTTATTCATTATTTCATTAAAATGATTTTGTATTTTTTTTATGTCTATTAACTCGCAAATATAATATTGTGTAGCAATTTGTATTTACATGAGAATTTTCATTTATTAAACATGTATGTACATACCTGATTGTCGATATAGGTATACTAAACATATCAGAGACATGCTGAAACGTTTGTCCTCTTGAAACACAATCTGCTGCTTGTTTGAGTAAAGCTTCGGAGCGTCGTATGCGGCGGGGAGTGTTGTTATCACCTCCAACCATGCAATCTTGTCAATCAAATAAGAATAAAGTAAAAATTAATTATTTAACGAACATAAATTTTATATCTGAAACAGTTTACAACAGTTCCGGTCCATTTTTTTTTTTAAATAAATTCTGTTAAATAATAAAAACAAAAATAAAACGTGACTTATGACTACAACGGGAATAAAAACTTAAACAAATAAAAAAGAGCGAATAGTATTACCTGTTATATTGTTAAAACTGTTTTCAAATTTGATGTTAGAGCGATTTGCAATTGATATATCAAAATTGTCTTGATATTCACAACTCACATTAGCCATTGCAAAGTCTGAAATAAAAAGTTTTATAAAGTAATAAAAATCAAAAAATTAAATAATAATAATTAAAATTTAAAATAATTTAAATGAAACAATGATTTATATATAATAGTATATTTAATTTACTTATATTTATTAAATACAATGACTAAATTTTTTTTTGACTAGTATCGGGTACAAAATATAGGTACTAAATATAATTGCACTCAAAAAATATATAATATTTAAATCTTTGGTTTGTTAGCACTACTTTAGAAAGTAGGCAAAGAATCTTAGAATAAACTTTCCCCAAATAAAGGATTTCATATTTCATACACAATTACATTAATCGAATTAAAAATATATCTTAATTCAAAAATAGTATAAAATCTAAACATGAATAATTCGAGACTAGATTGTTATTAAGTAGCTATAATAAATTTAAGCCTGCTTTTTTAATTTCATATTATCTACAAATTGTTTGAGTTGCCTGGGCATGGGATAGCTGCTCTTGATGTCCCAGCGCTTCATCCAATTTCGTAAAGTCTTTCGCGGCACATTGTAAACTTGCGAAGCCCTAGATTGAAGTGAAAAATTAATATAGAAACTACATAGTTCTAGAAGGAATCACAAATAAGCAAATAATAAACGTAAACTATACTTTTGCATGCAGCAACACGAATAAAATGAATTCCAAAATGAATAAAATAGGAACTATTAGGATAAATAACACTATGCGTACTAAAATTCATGTGTGTGAATACACACGACATTATAATAGGTTAATTCGGGCGCAACACCAAGTAAAACAAAGATGTAACTAAGCTTTACAAATTTATTACTTTACGAATTATTACGAATTCATACTTTTCTGTCTATTAATGTCAAGACTGACACTCAGTGCAATAAATAAAACATACACTCACATTAATTAACAATATACTACTAATTACACTAATGGTTAAACAGACTAATAATTGAAAAAATGAATCAAATGATATTAAAAACTATGTGTGAACTTTTGCGATCAAAAGACTGCACACATAGTTTTTAAAATCATTTGATTCAAAGTTTCAATTATATTTGGTAATTAAAACAAGGGTATAACTTATTTTTTATTACACTAAATGACGATTTCTGCGCACACTGAAACGTATGGATTTAAAAAAAATTGTCTTTATCTAGTTGCATCAGGATTTTACTGGGTAATCAATTAACCTATATACATTAAATGTAAATGAACGTCACATAAATAAAACATAAAGGAGTCTAATATTTTCTTAGCAAAGCATTACCAATTTATTAAAGTTTCCTCAATGCAATACTTTAATGATCATTGCATATATTTAAGACTCATTGTAATTATTTGTACAAAAACCTATATATTGTTAATTTATATTCAAAGATATGTTTAAGAATATTAAATAAAGGTCAAAGGTTTTTTGAGTACCTCTATTGTACCAAACGTACCAAACATTTCCAATATAATTCGTCACCAATGTAAGAAGAAAAAATATATGACAAAAAAAAAAAACTTACGCTAAATTCCAGTGTATATAAAATACGTAATTTAAAAAAAAATCATGTATATACTTATTTTATTTTAAGAATAAAATGAAGGAAAATATTTCGTAGGTAGGTGTTGCACTTGTGTGACATCCTATCATTTAATGCAGAGCCAAAAAACGGATAAATATTTAATACACAAATGTGACAAAGTCGAAATTATTGTTGGTATTTCAAAAGATACGATTCAAATATTATGATAAAATGCTACATCAATACTGTAAGTGCAACAAAGATTCTAAAAAATCGTATTATATATATATATATATATATATATATATATATATATACCGTGAAGGCTTGAAACAACTTCATCGATGAACTATACAAGTAGTATAAAAAATCTATTATCAGTTGCAACAAAATTTAAGTATGGTTACGGTTGCGTTAGTTACATCAATTACATGCAAAATTCCAATAATTAATCTAAACAATTGCTAGGTTAGTAATATTTAAACATGCATTGCATATAACTACTGTAATACAACACGGAAATGAGGTATTAAATATAATAAGTCCTTCACCTATAGATACTAGAACCTCCCTTTATATCCATCAAGGCATTCCATAACGATTCATTATCGTAAGCCCGAAACGATCCTGTACGTCCTGGTCTTATAACACCGCGCATCAATTCATTCTTTAAATTTAAATCGCAAATATCTACATTTCTAACCGAATCCTTTGAAGAATCATTTTCTTCGTCATTTTTTTTACCAGCTGTTTCAGGATTCGAATTCTTATCGGCATTATAATTTACATAAATTGTTTTAATTATATTTTTGGACTTATGGCTCTTATTGTCATGGTCTTCAAACTTCCTCTTCCCGGAGACGCACGGTATTATGGCCATTACCTCTTTATTGTAATGCAATTGAGGCGGGCATATGAAATTTGATTCTTCATCAACAATATCTATTGATTTTTCAAACAATTCGGACGAGTTTCTGACTTTGATGAAATGTTCTGAAATGCAAACCAATGCGTATTGTTTTTGTATAATCATAAAACATATTTACATTATTTAATTTAATAGAAAAAAATTAATTTAATTCAAAATCCATCATAATCAAACACACGATTTTCTCATGTTTTACAAGTTATTACAAATTTAAAACCAGTTACGTACGCCTATGTTTATAAATTCACCATTTCTTGGTTAACAAATTTATATATAAATGAATATAACGATATACACATATAATAATTTTAGTCACAATACAATATTGACTAGAATAAGGGTTAATGTTACATTTCATAGAGAAAGCCGTATGATTATTATCATATAATTTAAAATATGATCAAACGCCGGAAAAAGATTTGATACACTTCAATAAAGCTTTGAAAAACGATTAAGCTGAAAATTGAAAGAAATAACATCTGCATCATTATGTAAGAACATAATGAACTTATCTAGAAATCTATTGTATAAAAAGTGTATAAAAACAAAGAAATATGACCCGTGTAATATTTTGATAAATTAAGCTTCGTTGCCGTACCGTTATATTTTTTAATAAAAATCAACTTTACGCATATTCGCGATCGAAGGTTAAGTTACATACACCAACCTATACATACAAATTTAAACATATATAGCATATTAATAATAGCCCAAAAAATAAAAGCATGCCTATCTGAAAAATATTAATTACAAGAAAATTCCACCACCTACCTGCCTTCAACAATGGTCTTCTCTCCAGTAGTATTTTTTTTACTTTTTCCACGAGAAGTTTTAAATTCACTATTGATCACACTAAAATCGGTTTCTCATTTGAAAAAAATAAATTTCGATGCCCGAACTGTGTTCAAAACCACATTTTAAAAAATAATAGCGCACATATCGGAACATACGCTTGAAAATTAAGTAACAAATTACTTAACAAGAATTTCGCATATTTTCTAATGTAAATTAAATTGATTCTATCTCAGGCGAGGAAATCCATATGAATTAAGAATTATACGAGAAAACTCATTGTAGAACACAGACACAGCGGTTCTTTTGAACATTTAACCAATTATTCAAGATATATAACCAAATTATTATAAATGTGTATGTGTATGCGTGTTATGTTTGCATATATGTACGCCAGTATGTTTTTTACCACACATACTCATGCATTGAATAATGGGAACTCGGCATAAAAACATGAATATTAAGATATATATATATATATATATATATATATATATATATATATTGATTGTTTCTTTTCCGAACAGTAAATCCTATTATCTATTGAATATATATATATATATATATATATATATATATATATATATATATATATATGGATATTTATATTGAGCTTGAATTGAAGTTAGATGGCACACCAAACCCCATTAAGTTTTAATGAATTTTGAATAGTAATTCATCGAATAGAGCACATGACTCCTGGCTAATTCCTTGACTATATATATTTATATTTTTGTGTAAAATCCTGAAAAATAATAAATGATATACTGCTCGAAGACAGATCCATGGTGTGAGAGCCACCACAAATCAATGATTTCCTTTCACTTCCTCGTCTATCATCCCCATTACCAGTATTCCCTCTTTCTAAAAATTTTATGTATTTTCCTTTCCTTTCCTTTCCTTTCCTTTCCTTTATATATATATATATATATATATATATATATATATGAGTATATATATATATATTTATAAAAAATAAATCGTAACTAATTGGTATTGGTATTTTGCCTTGAGGCAAGTTTCATGAACTTCCCGATATGTGTAAATAATCGACCTAATCAATAAAAAATAAATGTATGAGTGATTGAAAGTATTACGAGTAGATTTATTACACATAATTGAAAACAAACGAACACGTTAACTCGGAGTATTTTCTAAAAGCAAATTTTAAAAAATCAACAATTTTTATAATTGAACCAGTTTTCGTGGGACTTTAATGGTTGTTTACCATGTTTATTAAGACCAAGTAGTCTATCGTTATACCCAGTAAATCGTCTAATTTTAATTTTAACAAACGTCAAAAACTACTTATTTTCTCAAACTTTGATAAATTTTTAAAATTAAACTACTTGTCGTAAGGCCTGTAAACGTAATATTTCAGTAAGTTCTGTAAGACCATTATATATATCGCCAAAAAAAGTTCCATAATAATCGGCTTAAATTTTTTTTCAGCATTTAATTACAAGAAAACGGGTCGGTAGATTTTCACCTAAAACTAATCAGTATCATTCCCAACTAATATCTTTCGAACAGTTTTTAATTTTTTAAAATCGATTCAGTAATATGAACTTAAATGTAGACGAAAAGTTTAACACTTTTTTCGAAATTACAAAGAAACGGCTTAGCCGTTCGCTGCACAAAACTGAGAAAAGATAATCTACATCGAAATACATCAAATTGCTTTAAATTTCTGAAATCGGTTCAGTCGTTTTTGAGCAACGCCTGAACGCCTCAATGAAAGATCTAAATTTAGCAAAAGCCAAAAAAACGATACTAATTTTTGCAAACTTTGACGATTTTTTAAAATTAAGCGACTTGTTGTAAGGCCGTAATATTTTAGTATGATCTGTAAAACTATGGTATCTACCGTCAAAAAAATCAAAAGTAATAAAAATAATCAAAAAAAAATTGATTTGATTTTGATCGGCCCGGCCGATCTCTACCAAAAACTCGATTTCCAACCAATATCTTTCGAACGGTTTGAACTTTCAAAATCGATTCAGGATTGCGGGCTAAAACGTGGACGAAAAATTTTTCACTTTTCTGCTATTTATAAAAAAAAACGGCTTGGCCGATAGTCGTACAAAACTGACAAACAATGGTCCTCATCGAGATACATCGAATGGCTTTTAAATTTTTGAAATCTGTTCACGAGAAAACATAAAATTAGCGAATCGGATTTTTTGATGAAAACATTTCTCCTTTGGGAAGTAAAAAAATGTTATTTTTATATATATTGCTATATTGCCTATAGCGGAGCAGCGTATGCCACCTTGGGAAGCTAATGCATACATATACACCAACATTATTTAGACCAAACGTACTTTAATTTGGCCTGCAGAGAAAAAAGTATGCATAGATTGTGAGTTGAATAATTAATGTAGGGCATTTCAGATGAGCAGGTCGACACGGCTGTGGGTAGGGTATCAACAAGACCAGAACAGAGGTTTGTTGATTACAATATCAAAGATTGCTGACAAAGACCAAAGTTTGCAAAAAAAAACATTATAAATGACGCCAACAAAGGGCGATAGTAGATCATTCAAATTCAAGATACTAGTATATCGACATGCGAAATGCGCTGCGAAAAAGCGACTGGATGTCTATGAAACATATTTACAAGAGAGCTTCTAAGCCCTTCTTCCCAAATAAAAGTGAAACCGTCAATACCAACTAGAGAATGTTAAATAATATACTAATTACTCAAGTATCACTTGGAATACTACCAGTACGTTCGCAATATTGGGTGGCACAGAGACTGCCTTTCCAATGTTTCATGGAAGGAAGGAAGCGAATCAGTATCTAATTCCACCAAAAAGTTAATGCCCAACGGCGCGTTGGGTCGAGAAACAAACGAAAAGAGGAGGTTTTATTCGGTATTATTATTGAAGTCGACATAGACAGACGAAAAATGTAAGCCTAACGACAAACGTACATTTATTTCCGTATCCATATAAAAATCATACATACAACCATATACATATATATCCAGACTATGATTTGTCTGGTTTTAATACCACTCCCAAAAAAAAATCTATGGGATAATATGTAAACATAAAATGTAAATGATATCTTAATAAAAGTATGTCTATAATTTGTTGTTCAATATCGCCGATAAGAGACGTCCATTAATCACGTGATCGAGTTTTTAGGAATTTTTGGACCCCCCCACTCCCTTGGTGATATGTGATGATATTCAAAATTACCCCTCCTCTCCTACCGAATCATATGCATTTTTAGTTGCGTGAAAAAAATAAAAGGTTTAATTTTTTTTTGAAAATATTTGATATTTAAAAAAAATTAGTTAAAAAACAAATACATTTGATATCTTACTATACCCCTCCCTACACCACATGATATTTTGTGATTTTTTGTTAAACCCCCCCTGTCCCTAAAAACATCACGTGATTAATAGATGCCTTATCTCTATCTTCGAGAATTGGTCCGAACAAATAGAATCAAGTGACATTTTGAATTTGTTTGAAGTCACGACTTCAACAAGTTCTGAAATGAGGTATGCAATTTCTTTATGAATATTGATCGGTCTATGAAACGAAGCTTTGTTTTTAAGAAACTAATTGCTAACGCCACCAGTGCGCGAAAGACTAAATAGAAAAGGCTATGTTTCGAGCAAATAAAAATATAAGAGTATTTGAAGTAAAAATTGATTTTCGACATTTCAGAACTAAATACGTTCATCTTCAGGTTTTTATCAAGCATAAAATATTGGTGAGAAAATGAAAAAAATAACAGGCTTTTTAAAAAATATAGTCAATTTGATTTAACAAAAAAAGCTAATTAGATATACTTATAAAGAAACATACCGAATGCCCGAATGTAACCAAATGTACAAGAACTTGCTATAATTTATTAATAAAAAAAAGAAATAGACTTGAAATAACACAACACGGAGACTTGAGTTTAAAGCTCAGTAAGTTAGAATTTGTATTGAAAATTATGGGGGGCATGACATTTTAAGAAACCTCAAGATGGGGTGTGGGCCATAAAAGGTTGGGAATCACTGGTGTGGAGCATTTATTAAAAAAATGAAGAAATAATTTGATTGGGTGTCAAAGCAAGCAGAGTTAGTTGTTTTTTCTATTGTTCACAGCTTGTTTTGACAATCAGATTACAATTTTAATCTATAAGTTAAAAGTGGGTATTGAAAATCAAAAGAAAGAAAAAAAGAAAAAAAAACACATATGAAATAAATGAATAAAAGATAAATAATAATAATAATAATAATAAATAATTATAAGTAACTTGTGTGGAACATTTTAAGCAGAATTAGTGATCATTTTTTAATAATTTACAATTGGACGCACAATAAATACGCTTGGACGCACTCGTAAAGATACGTTTTCAGAAAAAGATCGTTAGAAAAAGATTACCTACAATAAAGTAGTTGAAATAACTTGTATTAACAATGCTTATTTTTTATGGAATAATTTAATAAAGTGATTTTCAATTAGACTCGCGGATTTTTAATTAATTTTTATTCTTCAATTTTATTATTACTAAACAACACTATAAGCCATTCTAGTAATCTGTTTGTTGTCTCATTATTTATTTTTGTTTCCCTATTAATTATTTATGCTTAATATAAATCCTCATGATGGAACGTGTATAGTTTCTAAATATCATCGGAAACACTTGACGCTAAACTTAGAATATAACCATAGCATTTGAAATGCAGCTCAATTTAAGGTTATATACTGAAAGAACAAAATCTATGTAATCTCTCTTAGATTACAAAAGACCTATCATGACAAAATTTCATTTTGTAATTAAACTACTGCATGTAAACAAATGTAATCCGACATGAATGGAAAGTGTAAAAATTGAAAATTGTACAAAAAAAAATTAACCCAAATATTGTTAATTTATATAAATAATGATATATATATATATATATATATATACATATATATTAAATTTTTAATATAATGTCCGAGCATGACCGGTCATTAATTTTTTATGAAAATGTAGGGATTTTGCTTTAATCATATACTACTAGCAAAATCAAAAATTAAAATTGAAAATCCATTTTAGGTGATTATAAATAATGTTAACTGAAAATTATGCCGTTTAGTCATTTTCAAATTGTATGCTAATCATTACATCTTATAATGTTATATCAAATATACTATTCTTTAACACAGATGAACACAAGATACTAAAATAATTACTTCAACTTATGACTTTGTAAATCACCAGACATGAATAGAGATTTATTTAATTTGATATTCTTTCTTCTTATTTTCCATTAAAGATTGTGATATTGAATATACTTCAACTATTTAAGTTTTTATGCAGTTTCAAGTAAGTACTGAAACATTTCAACAATAAAAAACCAAGCACAAGTTTTGTAATTAGTTCGAGTGATTGATTAGAAAAATTACGTATAGCTGGCCTTTCAAGAACTTTATATCCATAATCCAAAAGATGTATGTATAATGCATGTGTGTGGCTACATATAAACATACATACATAAATACACATAATATAAATATACAAAGAAAATATTTCGTTTTTATACAACAAAAATTAACATCAAATGTTATTGATTGCCAATATGATACATTTAAATGAGCATAAATTATAAATTTATGTCTTGAATGTAACTCAGACAACAAAATAGAATGTGTTGAGCTAGCCACAGAAACTGCTAAATCGTAGCCCATGTATTTCATCTAACAAATTGATAAAATAAATATACAAAACTATTAAATCAAAATCATTTAGCCTCATATGATACAACATATCACAGCATGTTACTTTTTGTTGCATAATTCATTAATTCCATTGGTATACACATCTTATTAATATTCTTGTACACCATTTTGTTATTGTAACACATAATAGTAATAAAGCATTGTGTTAATAATATTTTCCCCAAGTAGCTTCATGGTACATATGAATATTCAATAAAAATGATATGATGATAGTTGCAAACGTTTATGAAACCATTCAAATAATACCACAAGTAAAAAACTTGAGTAGTATTCTACTAAATATCTCTTTATAATGTAACAAAATATAGATTGCATTAGATTTTTTTGTAATCTAATGATAGATATTATAAAATTCGAAATTTCGTGATTGTGTAAACTTTCATTACATATCTATAAAAAAAAACATTTATGGAAAAGTAAAAAAAAAAAATTTAAATCACTTACCAGACTGTGATTTGTTCATACTGTCTTCAATAGAAATTTCACTTTTAACGTTCATAACCAAGTCATCATCTGAAAAATCAAAGATATTAGATTAAGTGAAATTTATTTTATTGATATAATGTAAAATACAAAATTATTTAAGGTTGTATCACAAATGTAAATTCTAAATTAATGTTTAAAATATACAAAAAATAACAAACCGTTTGCACCATTGCTGTATCTGCTATCAGGGGAGTCCATTTCAGAAAAATTATTGGTATCGTTCAAAGGATCTTGTAATTCAGAAGTATTTGTTTTAGCATCAGTATTCAGGGATGTGGATTCTTGCTCTTCTTGATAGGGTACTGTTTCTTCTTTCACAACATTATTCAAGTGATGGTTAGTATTACTTGTACTGCAATCTTCATCAGATTTCGTTGCAGTGTCAGAAAGATTTTTGAATGCTGAATCTGCACCAGATAGACCTAACAAAATGTATATCATATATAAGTATAAGTTTTTGATAAAGATTTGTGATACTATATAACTAATTTATTTAATTTAGGAAGAGGAATTTATGAAAATATTGAAACAAAAAACTATTTTTTATTCAAGCATAATATTTAATTATTAATTAGATCGATAGTTAACAAACAATCAAAATAGTTCCAATTCAAATAGAACTAACCTCTTATCTGCAGTGTCTCTGCACATTTTAAAAGATCTTGTAGCCCTTCTTGTGTAACATTTACTTCCCCCTTATACATGAAATCAACCAACGCTTGTAATTCCCAAAACCTAACATCTTTTAAAATTATAATTGGATGCTGGCAAGGATTTTCTCCCAGTAGACATTCAAAAAATCCAGAACAAGCGGCCAAAACTAACCTATGACAAGTTAGTTGACGTCCTTCACATGCTAATGTACAATCGACAAATCGACCACCAGCCAAAAGCTAAAACAAAAATAGAGGAATATTATGGAAAATCTCATTTCAATTATTGGAATAAATAACTATACACAAGAACATAAAAAAACTTAAATGTAAACTTGCTCTTTTATAGTGTTTTTTAATTATGTTAAATGTAAAATAATATTTATGATAATGTAAAATAAAAAATGGTAAATTAGAAACTTAAAAAGTCATCAACAAAACACATATATGATGCTTTCTTTTAAAATTTGAAATTTTATTTCACCAAAACTGTAATTCAAAATTTATTCAGCAAACATTAATATACTATTACAATTTCCACAATTAGGACTTTTCGTCTTATGCTTCAAGTTATTGTCACATACAACATTTTAGTTTCATTATACTATAGTATACAATATATACAAAAAAGCAAGTATAGGAAAAATAAATTACATAAAAATGATCAAACAGTAGGTGCATAAATATGTACTTATAAATATAACTTACCTGAGGAAAAGCTGCACCCAGACTTCCTAAATGACTGTTCCAACGAACACAGAATTGTTGTGATGCAGCCATAATTGTTTATAATGTTGCCAAAACTTCAAATATTTAATAAAATACAATGTTCAAAGAAGAGAGGTCAATGAATTAAAAAACAGTTCATTATAAAATTCACAAAAGCCCTGAGTATATTTTGTTAATTAATTTTACCAGTTTTTTCATATTCTGAAATAAAAAATAAAACATATTAGTTAAAAGAAGCACATACATTCAAACTCATGTACACTGAATGAATTAAGAAAATGGAAGAAGCTTTACGGAGTTGTTAATTGATGGAGGGTCATTAAAAATATATTTCCCCCACTAACAGAATATAAATAAATATAAATGCAGATACAAACTATTTCTATTTATAAAATCACATGGTCTAACAAACTAATACAATTTTAGAAAATATGCACGACACTAAACGTACCTAACATGTAAAAATTTATTACAACAATGTAATGGTAGTTTATACAAAATACTAACAAAAATCAATAGTTGAACCGAGGCATAATTTGTATAACAAATATATAACGTTACGAGCTACGACCTACGTTCTTAACTTATAGGCAGAGCGTCATAGAAATATGACAAAGAAAAAAATGAACGTATGTCGTAAATCGATACTATTACACTAGCGCGATTCGATGAGAAATTAAAGAACTTTTACTGAAAATTTTATTTATATAACTACGCTTTCTAAATTTATAGATAATTTTACATAAATTAATGTTTTACTTACTTTTCTTCTAAACGATAAGCACACAATCTTAAATAATATACCAAACACAACACTCACGCTATGACGCCATTTGCACTGAAAAAGTGTATTAATCAGTGTTGCCGTTTTTAAGTTTTAATTCTTAGTCAGAGGTGGTCCGCCAGCGGCTCTTGGGCCAGTTTAGGCACAAAATACTAATTCGTCAGAAATAAACAACGTGCAATTTACCATGAATATATCATATTATAATATTGTCTAGTCAATTAATATTGATTGGCATTAATAAAATATGAAAAAGTGATTTTTAATATGCAAAATAGTAAAAATCTAAACAATTTTTTATTGTACTTAAAAATACTATTTATCTTTTATATAATAATGAAAATGCAAGATAAAAGAATGTTTTATATCAATTTTGAATGTGTAAAATTATGTGCAAATGGATGATTAAAATGTTAAATATTGATGTCGATTTTGGCTCATATTAAATGATGTATGCAATTTAATGTTTATAGTAAGGTGTATATTTATTATTTATTTAGCAAAGGTTTATTTTGATATGAATGAAAAATAGATTATCTCTATGTAAATTTATTCGAAATATTTACACATTCAAAATTGATATAAAACAAAGCTTAGAAACAATAAAAAGCAAAAATTTTATTATAAATATTTTATTATTATTATTTTATTTGTGTATTTCTAATGATTAAAAAAAAATAACTGTGTTCTTATTTTTTGCATATATCAAATATCGAAATAATAAAATTAAGTAGAAGTAAAAAGTTATTAATTTCTATCTTTCAACCATAGATACAGGAAGAGTATAATGCTTTTAACGGTCTTCTATCATCATCAGTAGCCATTTATATCTATGGTTTATAATTCAGCCCGCGCTGACAGTTTATTTGTCGACCTCTGAAGGAAAATTAGTAGACAACTACCAAACGATATTCGGAATTTACCAAAACGCGGCGTTCTTCGACACTACCTTTCAAATAATAATAACATAAGTTTTTGATAAGTGTTAATAATGTGGTAGTAGCGTTTATGATAATACGTTTTATTATAATCATAAGTATATAAATCTGACGTATAACAAGATAAAAATAAAATCTTAACCTCTCTGCATATAGTCGAGCAGTATTTAAATAATATTGTTAAATTTTGTCAATCTCGCAGAGATTTACAGTGACGTATTATTGGTGTTAATGGTGTAAAAGGGGCCGTTTATTTGAATTAAGAATGGTGCCCATGGGCCCATCACCTGTACATACAGGCCATCAAATTCATGCAAATCAGCCAGCAGCTAATGCAAATCAATCTTCGCTATCAATTCAAAGTAGTGGTAACAACAAAACTGGTGGAGCGGTTAGTACATTACTTACTGTAAATATAACTTACTTGAAGAATTTTATAATAGTTCTGTTTTACAAAAAAAGGTTCTGAATATCGGT